ATTCCGTATATCATTCAAGATATATTAAATTAAATTAAATAATCAACAATAAAACAGCATTTTATGCTAATTATTTTTTTGCATATTTATTATTCAATTTTTTAAAGCATATTCATTTGTAATACGCTAAGATATATTACATTATATTATAACATACACGTATTATAAACAACAATGATATTACATCAATATTATAATATCTCACTCAATAATATATGTAATATAACACATTCTCTGTATAACAATTATGTCAAGTAAGAAATTATTGATATATTACAATATTGATGTTACTGTTATCGTTTTTAATAATTATAGCATAATAGATACAGTGTTTGGTAAGTTTTAACAAAACGCTCTTGTGTAGATAGAACGGACTAAACGAGTCGAAAAATCCTCTACCATTTTGCTATTTTCGCAATAATGAACGAGATGTTAATTTCTACTGTCGAATGAGTGGGGTAAAATCGATGTATATAAGACAACTTTAAAATTTCTTCCAGAGTTTTTTTAATGGAAAATCTTAAAGATGTCTCTTAATAAACTCTTAAAGATATCTTAAAGTTATTTTATGCATCAATATTTTAAACATTGGATAACTAAAGAAGAAATTGCGACAATCGCAATTGTGTGTGGTAGAGGACTTTTCGACCCAGTTTAGTCCGCTCTATCTACATACGAGCGCTTTGTCAAAACTTACCGGACACCATGTATATATGCTGTAAGTATAATAGAGCAGATCTTTTAATCAATATTAAAAAATTGTCTACATAAAATATGATTATATTTACTAAATTTGTTTAAGAATTAAAAAGGGGAAACCATAAAAGTATTCGTCAACTTAATTACACTTTTTAAACCTATCACAACTTTATAGCACGTTCAACTTTTTGTACTTGAGAATTGCAAAGGAGGTCACTCGGTTTTCTTTTGTACAACTTTTAATTGACAATCACCGTGCGAAACATGGATATGCATGCATATATGTATATGTACAGAATAACATTTTGTCCATCCATCAACCATCTGGTCGACCTCGTCTTTACCCTCGTTTTCTCAACAACTTGGAAAACAATCGATTCATCTGTCAATCCCGACATCTATCCGCGCTCTACTTATCTTTCGTGTCGACACCCTAGGTGCATCGAAACTATGCCGTCCCTGGGATCTCGACCGCCGAGGCTAATCCCCCTTAGCGGACTTGGACCATGCTCCAGCATCGTTTGCGACGGTTCGCGATAGAATCAACGTACACCCTCGCGCGCGCTTACCCTTGAGAGGGAAGGCGAGAATATAAGTGAAGAAGGGGTAGGTGGAGAGGAGGAGAGGTGGGGAGAGAGAAAGAGAGGAGAGAGATAGAGTGCGCAATACACGGCAACGGCCGTGAGCTACGGGAGTTCGCAAGGGGGCGGTTAGGGGTAAGAGAGATGAGGCATGTGGCGCACAACGGTTATTCGAGAGAGATGAGGCAAGTTCTCCGGTACACGGTGGTGGGCACAATATTGATCTGTGGGGTGGGCTTCGGGGATGCTGTCCTCCGACTCTCTCCTCCGCCCCCGGACCGCCGTTCTCACCCGCCTTCTCGCGCCCCCTCGAGCCCTGCGATGCCTCCCTCTCCCCGCGTCTTCGCGCCCCCAAGTCTACTACCCTGGTACTCTGGCGACGTGGTGGGGATCACGCTAGTTGCGTGCTGGTCCAGTCCGCAGCCTCCCGCGAAATCGTAGTGGGAACTGGCGGTGGCCACGGGAGGTAGGGGCGTTGGAGAGGGTGGATTCTCCGGAGGTGGAAGTGGCGGAGGAGGGTTATGGCCATCGTGGGGAGCGCTCCTCGCGTCTATATCGCGGCGGTGGCTGCGAGTCGCGAGAGCTCGACCGGCAGCTCGTACACGACCCCGACCGCCTCCTTTTTCAGGGGTTTCGGTTTCCGGTTCGGACACCCGTTCGCAGGGACGAGGCGGTTTTCTCCATCCCCCGTGTGTCCAATCCCTCTCTTTCTCTCTTTTTATCTCTTTGTCTTATTTTCCATCACCTCTTTTTCTCCATTCCTGTTTCTCTGGTCTTCCCTTTTGCCAACCGCTGTCTCAGTCTAGCGCGAGTTGCCACGTTCGGCCGATCACTTCGCGGCGTACACTCTGTGCGTGCGGCTTATATGGGTGGTTACACACGTCTCTTCATCTTCGTGCTCGTCGTCACGGTCGCCGGTATTCATCATTACGGATTACTCGTGCTCGCATCTCGTTCGTGTTGAACCCGCGGTGCCCATGATGCGAGACAGATTCGTACGTGCAAGAGGTACGACTTCGCCGGATGAAAGCAATTACGGATAAAGGATCAAAGCAAGTAGCACAAGCAGAACGACGAGGACGAGGCGG